GTGTGTGTGTGTATGCTTATATATTGTAGTTTGTGTGTACATTCATACTTGATCAATGTTTCTATTCCCCATTAGGTGACGCTGATGTCATTGTGCCCGCCCCCGCCTTTTTTGTGCACAAAACTGTACAAGCCTGTCAGACTCTAGAAACACGACTTTTCTTATTTACCACATCACGTCAGACTCTACAAACACGACTTTTCATGTCAGACTCTAGAAACACGACTTACGACTTTTCCCACCGCATCCTGTCAGGCTCTTCAAAAATGACTTTTCCACTACATCCTGCCAGACTCTAAAAACACAACTTATTTCAGCAAACCCTGTCAAACTCTACAAACACGACTTTTCCTGTCAGACTCTGCAAATACGACTTTTCTCTCCGCATCATATCAGGCTCTACAAAACGACTTTTCCACCACATCCTGTCAGACTCTAAAAACACGACTTTTCTCACCTCATCCTGTCAGACTCCCGAAAAACGACTTTTCTCAACCCATCCCATCAGACTCTAGAAACGCTTTTTTAACGGTATCCTGTCAGACTCTAGTTAAACGATTTTTCTTACCACATACTGCTAGACTCTAGAAACACGATTTTTCACCCCATCCTGTGGGACTCGAGAAACATGACTTTTCCTGTGAGACTCTACAAAAACGACTTTTCTCCCCCCATCCTTTCAGACTCTAGAAACACGACTTTTTTAACAACCTCCTGTCAGATTATAGAAATACGACTTTTCTCACCCAATACTGTCCGATTCTAGAAACACGACCTTTCTCTCCCCATCTTGTCAGACTCAACAAAAACGACGTTTCTCGGCCCGTCTTGTCAGACTTTACAAAAATGGCTTTTCCTGTCAGACCATAGGAACACGACTTTTCCTGCCAGACTCTAAAAAAACCCGGCTTTTTTCACCCCATCCTGCTAGACTCTAGAAACACGACTTTTCCTGCCAGACTCTAGAAACACGACTTCTTTTCATGTCAGACTCTAGAAACACAACTTTTCTCCCCACAGGTCCCAGTCAGTGTTGCCAACGTCTGTGTGAGTGTGAGTGAAATCCCTCAACCATGACGTCATCATCTCTCCGGGCCGCCGTGTTCCTGTGTATGATCGCCCTGACTACTGGAGGGGTTGTGAAACGAGCGCTTGGTGGTAAATATATAGAGGGATTTGTTGTTGTTGTTGTTGTTGTTGTTGGTGGTGGTGGTGGTGGTTGTTTGTTTATTTGTTGTTGTTTAGTTTTGTCTGTTTATTTGTTTGTTTGTTTTGTTGGTGTTTGTTTGTTGTTATTTGTTTGTTTGTTTCTTAGTGGTGGTGGTGTTGTCTTTGTTCGTTTGTAGATTTGTTTGTTTGGGGTTTTTGTTGTTGTTGTTTTTGTTGTTGTTGTTGTTTCTTTTTCATTGTAAATCTTTATATTTTACACTACTCCTCAAGTCTAGTTTTCAGAAACTGTAATTTAGAAGATTTATTATACGCATCCCATCAATTCAAGTTTTGAAAAATTTAATAGCAGATGTATAAGTACGCCCCTTTTCTTTAACACAAATTATCGGTCTTTTCGGAAATGGACGTTTAAGTCGAAGGTCCCGCCTCTTGTACAACCTCCCAGTGTTGCAAGGAGCGTAACATCTGTGAAATTCTACATTTCCCCAATTTTCAGAAATTATGATATCTCGCTACTCTAGAATTACAAAGTCCTATCTGCTCAGTAGATCTGCCTAATATTGACAAATTTGACGAAAATTTTTTCGAGTTTCACAAAATGTCAAGCTTTTCCAAATGCAATCCTTTGAATATCTCCATAGCAACTCCGAATAATCTTTCGATTTTGATAGAGAAGATAGAACATACATTATTAATTTGCTTTCTGACCTCATGGTCTTAGTGACTCCAAACGACCAAAATAGTTAGACAGAACTTTGTAACTCTAAAGTAGAGATTATTTATTACTGTGCGCGTCTTGGTGTGTGATGGTGCAGCGGTATGGCGCTACCTCAGAAAAATACAAAGTTCTATCTGACATTTTTGGACGTTTTTTTTTTTTCCCCTAGTTATTAAGGCCACGATGTCAAGAAACAAATGCTCTATCTGCTCTATCGAAATCGTAAGATTATTTGAAGTCGTCATCAAAATGTTCAAAGACTTGCATTCGAAAAGTTTGACATGTTGTGAAACTTTAAAAAATAATTTGAAGTCACATTTCTCAAAACTAGGTACTGGGCACATAATATTTTGTAATTCTGGGGTAGCGACATGTAGGAGACCCGAGTTTGATTCCTGGGTAAGGAGAACATGTTTTATAGGAGAATCTTGGTCTTTTTGCTGAGATAATTATATCCTTTTCAGGCCGAGTTTGGTTGGCAGTGACAGGCAGGATCGGAACCCCGCCTCTTGACTGATCTAGAATGTGGGAG